GCACTCAAGGCACAGGGCTGGGGGTGTGGGTGATCAGAAAGCCACGTGCGGGGCAACATCCCATCCATTCGGCTTGGCAACAGGAAGCACACTCCCTTCCAAGGTGACTTCCAGCCGTCTGCTCGTCCACACCACACTCCACACACGCTCACCGCCCACCTAGCCCACCGAGGCCTCTCCAGGTCCCACTCCTGCTCCCGTTCTCCCCCCCACCCTCACTGCCTCTGTGAATGCACACACCCTTGACGCGAGCTCGAGCCCGGCCTTAGGAAATCACTTCCTCGCATCTTTAACCCATCTTGTCTTTTTATAACTCCAGTCCAGCCTACCTCTCGCCTCTCTCCCTCGGCCCTGAACTATGAATGTCCTAGTCCCCTGCTCAGCTCGTCGGCAGTCCTGGTTCGGCTGTCCCACCACATCATCAGTGCGTTGAGAAGAGGCACCACCTTTGAGGCATTGTGTATTCCAACGGGACCTAATGTTTACTGATTACTGATCCCAAAGCTTTCCTGGAGGCTACCGCAGCCAGATGAGCTCTCTAGTCGGTGACAGTTAGAAGGAAGTCCCTGTCCTCACAACCAGGTGCTTGCTTACAACGGCTAGCTCCACGGATCACTGCCTTCTATTAGGCTGAAGCTCATGAAATTCCCGATATTCTCTTTTTTCAAACATTTTTATATTCTCAACACACAAAAATGGCAGTTTCTGGTGGCTTAACTTACTGCAGCAAACAGCGTCAGCCCAGTTGCATGTGCTAAAAGAGCAAAATTGGGAGGTGGACTGCAGAAGGGACGGCCACCCTCCGGACACGTGAACCGTGGGAAGAGCACACGGACCTGAGGCGGTTTGAACTCAGCATCAACGAAAATAAAGTTCCTATTCTTGCCCTGAAATTTCTTTTGCACTGTATTCATATCATAATTATTTAACTGATCTTGTGAAATATCCATACTCAGTCCAGAAAGATAAGAAAAAGAGCGCTGGGATAGAACCACCTGCTAAAGGTAAGAGTTTTTCAAGGGGGGAGTCTGCATAAAATGTACAGTACATTTTCTTACCCACTTCTACTCAGGTTTTTAGCATATTAAGGAAAAGGGCTTGAACAAGTAATGGCATCATTTTAATTTTCTATAATACTTGACAAATAGCAATACTTTATTCTCTTAGTTTTTTTCCAAAGAAAACAATATGGGTTAGATCCTGCACGTAAAACATGAATGTCTGATTAGTGACAACTTACAATGCATTGTGGTGACTCAGATTCCAACACATGTATTTATTTTGGAGCTTTGACAAGTTGGTCACCCCCACACACATCCTGTGACTGGATAAGACTGTGACCCAGAATGTTTACAATGTTTTAAAGATAATGTCATGAGAGGCAATACAGTGAGTTTATGAACCCACGCTGGAGTCAGACTGCCTGGCTCAAAGGCAGCTCTACCACCTATGAACTGTACGATCTTGGGCAAACTCACTCATTCCCCCTACAAATATTTATGGAGCATCAACTAGTTGCAGGCACTGGTCTAGGTACTGGGGGTCAACGGAGAACAAGGTGGCCACACCACTGAGCCTCCATGTCCCCATCTGGGAAGTGGGGGCAGTGAGAGCACCTACTGCAAGAGCCTGTGGAAGGGAACGAGCTGACGTGACTGTGAAGCCCTCAGAACCACCTCTGCAGCGCTGCAGGAGCTTAATGAACATGAGACGCAGTTGCCGCTGTGCCATCGTGGTGCTAAATTAAACTTAATGTCCTGTCATGACCAAAACCAATCCAAGATCAAAATAAGGCTCCAGGTCTGGCCTCTGCCTTAACCAAAAAACTATTTCAGAAGCTCACTGAGAAAACGGAACAGTATGAAGCCTATATGGAAAGATGTAAAACTTTTTCTCACAGAATGTTAAGTAAAATAAAAATTTTTAAGATTCTATTATTAAGAATAACAGTAGAGACAAACACTGTATATAGCAGTTACTATGTAGCTGGCATTGTTTTAAGCTCTTTGCATTTATAAATAAATAAGCTCATACCCCTCAAGCCCTATGAGGCATGTGACATCACTATCCTCACTTCACAAATGATGAAACTGAGGCACAGAGATGTTAAGTAATTTGCCCAAGGCCACACAGCCAGCAAGAGGCAGCCAGGATCCCAGCACCCGCCAGCTGGCTCTAGGGCTGTGCCCCTGATGTTCCTGTCTGCTACAGACATGCGGGGGCAGTGTTCTGTGTTATGGCTGGATGGGAACTAGGGCAGCAAAACAGGGAGGGAAAAAGGAAGGGGGTGCTCCCTTCCACAGGCTGTGGGGGAGCTGCTCACTTCTTGGACAGAGGGATGAGGACTACGCTTTAGCCAAGAGCATTTGAGCATCAATTCCACTCCTACGAGTATACCCAATAGAACAGAAAACCTGTGTCCACACAGAGACTTGTACCTGAATGTTCACAGCAGCATTATTCATGATGGCTACAAAGTGGACAAAATCCTAATGCGCATCAACTGAAGAATGGATAAATAAAATGTGGTACAGCCATACCCCAGAATGTTATTCAGCAATAAAAAGGAATGAAGGGCTGACAGATACTACTACAAGGGTGAACCTTCAAATCAGCACGCTAAGTGGAAGATGTTAGTCACAAAAATCCACACTGCATTTATAGGAAATGCCCAGAACAGACAAATCCATAGACACAAAGCAGATTAGTGGTTGCCAGGGGGGTGGGATTGCTAACGGGTGCACAGGTTTCTTTTTGGGGTGATGAAAATCCTCTGGAATTAGACAGCAGTCGACGGTTGTGCACTCCTGTGAATACATTAAAAACTGGACTGAAAACTTCAAAACAGTAAATCTTATTGTACATGAATTTTATTTTTAAAGAAGACAGGAGTAACTGTGCTTCCCCATGAAAATCTCTAGAAGTCAAATACTGACTTAACTGTTTACTATGGCAAATACGATCAGGTCACCTCTATAACTTGGCTCTAAACTGATTTTCTTCATAGTTGAAAAAAAAATCCCAGTATAAATCTTTTATACATCAACAAAAAAATCCCTAAAGACTTAAAACTTTGTATTGTCTCATTCATGATAATACATTAAGTTTTGATAAATGACACAATAAAATTAAATCCAATGAGAAAGAAGAAACAGTGACACTTTACTAATATGACATCTTCCTTCAAAGTCCGTACTCGATGCGTATCTCCTTTCCTGCTTCCTCTGTAGCTTCTGGCGGGCCGACTACGGACACAGCATCGGTGTAGAGAGCCACCCTGCCTGGGCCGGATCCTGCTACAGCCCAGCTGTGTGGCTCAGAGCAGGTAAGCTGCCTGTTCTGTGCTACAGCTGCCGCTCTTTAAAGTGGGGGTGGCAGGAAGCATACTTACCTCATAAGGCTGTTGCAAATTAAATAAATATAAAACTATACTTGTAAATCACTCAGAGAAGTGCCCGGACGCTGTACAGGTGTTACGGGAGCTTCGTATCACCACGTATGTAGTGGATAATGCTCTACCAACAGGGCTGTACATGGCTGACATGTTGGGGGGCACACAGGGGCCTGAGGGAGTAAATGCAGAACTCCTGATGCAATCACTTCTTAAAAGGCATGAAATGTCAGAAATGTGTTAAGTCCACTCAAAAACATAATCCTATTAAAGCTACTTGCACAGCACTAAACGTCACACTCCTGAGGAGGAACCGCACATAATAACCAAGTGTGGCATGCGTGGGACGTGTGTGTGTATACACACACACACCCAAAAATCTAGGTAGTTACAGAGGAAAGCAAGAGACAATGTTAAAATGATTTTAAATCTGGGGGAAAACAAAAACAAGTCACCTCACTAGTAGACAAATACTATGTGTGTTTTCATTCACAGCACAGGGTGTTTCCTCCACTGTCCATCCACTTAGATTTTCTGTAAAAAACCATTGAACAAGTAAAATAAATTGGGGAGGTCTGTCTCCACCACTGACTCAAATAGCACAAGCTGGCTGTTAGGTTACCTTCCTGAAAACGGGCTGTGGCGTCCAGGATGAAGGACAAATTCAACTCGCAGTCAGCTCTTGAGGAACACCTGCATTCACTTCCCTCCATTTACTAGAGTAAAATTAATGTATGATTTGATCTATATGAGTTAACTGAATTTTTTTTATTTGTCCCTAGGCAAACAGACCACACTTTAACATGAGAAATTTCATCTGGAAAAACATCATGCAAAAACTACTCTTTAGAAGTTAGCTTCGCAATGCCAGTTAGATCGGAGGGACCGATGGGGCAAAGCGGCCCATTTCTCCAACAGCTGAGGAAATGACTGTGGTAGACACAGAAAACAGGAGCAGGTCTGATTTGGAAAGTGCTACTGAATGTTAGCAAAGCAGAAACTCTCCATGGCAATCCTAGAGAGTTGTCTCTATAAATATGCAGGTTACAATCTTAAGAAGCAACCTGAATTAAAAATTTATTAAAAATAAAATCTAAATCAAAAGGATTCCTCTATAAACACATTGCTCAACTTTCCCAAGTAAGTCTTTGCAGGTAACTGAAACCTAGGAAGTGCAAGGAAAATCTTGAGCTGTAATTGCCCAGATCCTTGCCATGCGTGGATCAGCAGCTCCAGGGAACAGGCTAGAGGGTAGAATCCCAGGTCCCCCCAGACCCGCTACACCCAAATCTGCACTTTGACACTATCCTCAGGTGCCCTCTGTCCACACTAGAGCTTGAGATGCACTGGTGTAAATGTTACCTATTTGGTTACACTGAGACAAGGCATATAATGATGCAATTAAATATTTCACATTCAACAAACAGGTTTTTTTTTCAAGCACTCCAACTATTAAGGGGAGAAAATGTGATACGCAGGAGCCACAAACAATCCTTTGTTATCACACCTTTTCAGAAAGCCTCAGAAACAATCAGAATGGGGTATGTAAATAAAATGCTTCACCTCCAGTCCAAATTTGTCAAGAGTAAATAAAAACCCACATTCATACCTGCAAAACGCAGAGGCGCGTCTTTATCCAGGGCGATCAGTGGAGGGTCGAGGAGCACTGTGTCGTCATTCTCCGTGACGATGCCATGATAGGCGGGCTCAAGCCACGGCTTGTGCTTGTTAACTGTGTTTTTAAAAAGAAAAAGAAGAAAGGAAATAGGCCAGGTTAGAAGTACTATTTGAAACTCAACTGCTTTTGAAGACATACATCTATTATTAAAATAATAAAATTCTCATGAGTCTGGAAGGCAACGCTTGTATTTTTCGTTGCCAAGTTTGCTATAAAGACGCAACCAGAAAAACTGCTCTGGAAGTAAAATAAAAGGAAAAAGACTGATGGCTATTGGCACACTATCCCCGCAGCCTAATGGAAAAGTTACACAGAAAAATGTATCACCAGCTCTTTATGACATCAGTAATACAACAGTAGTACTTATTTAAAATTAGCATGACAAGTAGAAATGTACAACAAAGACACAAAACACAAGACTGATGAGAATATAGCCAATGACTGTAACATCTTCCTATATTGATGGATAGTAAACTGCACTAGTGGGGTGAGGATTTAGTAATAGGGGTAACTGTTGAACCACTGTGTTGAATATCTGAAACCAGTGTAAGACGTGTATAAACGATACTTCAATAAAAAAAAGAAACACTACTTTATAGGAAGCTTCAAGTTACTGGGATATATTGGGGACTACCAAAAGAATAAAATGTGATCACTGCAAAATAAAAACAAAACAACCCCCCCTTCCCCAAGATTGATGAATATAAAATTACAAATAGAAGGTGTTAGGACTAAATGCAAACTTTCTGAAAAACTTGACTCAAAACAGTGTGTGCAAATAACCCACTTAGGAGTCCATGGACTTGGGGTCAGATTCCAGCTCCCCTCTCTTATTCACTGCATGACCTTGAGTGTGTTAACTGGCCTCTTAACCTCAATTTCCTCCTCTGTAACCTAGGGACAGCTCCCAACACACAAAGCAGGGCGACCACTGCAGCAGCGATGTTTTCCTTCTGGGTTGGACATGAGAATTGCTGCTTTTGTTTTTAAGGTGAGAAATGTTGCTGGGACAGTCTGCTTACCTGAGAAATCCGACCTACCTTCCGCTCCTGTCATTTGTTCTCCCGGGGGCCTGGCTCCCGAGGCATGGGGGTGGGTGGGGGGTGGGGGTGTCCTGTGCTGAGACTTTCCCCCAGGTACAGCCAATTCCCTCTCTGCATTCCTATCTCCACCAGCACGTTCGGGGCAGCTCAAACCTCCTCCTTTCCTTTTTACTTTCACCTGTGAGTACTCACATTATACCCTCAGGACACCTATTAACCATGGGGCACCTCAATTAAGTGGATCTAAGTAAACGCAATGGTATGAAACTTTATCCCCAAGCAGGCAGTGTCAATTTGTAGTATAAACTACCCAGATTCTTTCCCATAAGTTTAAGTCAATCTCCAGGTACCTAAGACTGAATTTAAATGTTCACCCATCTTCTGGACAATGCTGCGTGATGGGACGTTACTTTCCTGCTACCCTGTGATGACCATTAGGCAGACAGGAGAGACTGTGACGTCAGCCTCACCTGCACCTGCACCAAGCGCAGCAGGCTGGAGGGGCACAGCTCGGGGTAAGGTGGAAAATGCGCAGGCACCTGACAGTCCAGGTTTGAAAGGCAAAAAACAGCCACCACCTCCCTCTCTGACCAAGTGATGAATTTACCAGATGTTTACACATGCCTCACCCGAGCCGACAGCAAGTCCTCTGCCTTCACTTTCAACATAAATCCAGACCCACTGGGAGTTCGTGTTTAATGGAATAGAGTCTCAGTTTTACAAGGAGAACAGTTCTGGGGATTGGCTGCACAACAATATGAACGTGCTTAATGCTACTGAACTGCACACTTAAAAATAGTTACGATGAGAAATTATACCTTATGTGTATTTTACCACCACTTTTTAAAAAACAACACACATGCACACACACAAAATAAATCAAGACGCAGCCATTTCTCACCATCTCTGCTCTCACCTAGATGATCATAAAAGCCAAGGACCCAAATTCATTCTTGCCGTCCTGCACTTCTCCCAGGGCAGCCAAAGGGCCGCTTCAATAACAGCGCTTCCCCAACGCTATGCTCTCAGAGCCACTTTCACTGAAAAGGTACTAAGGACCCCAAACTGCTCTTGTTTACACGGATCTATCACTTACCGATCAGCATTTACTTACTGAAAATAAAAACCAATAAAAATTTCATTATTCATCAATTAATTTTTTTAACAAACCTACTATAAAATAAATAGTTTTATGAAAGTAACTATTTCTGAAAACAAGTTTTACGAAAAAGAATGACAACGACATGTTCGCAACCCGTTTTACTGTCTGGCATGTTCACAGAAAACATCTCGCAGCCAATACGTGCATGACTACACGTCACGCAGCCTCCAGAAAACTCGAGTGTGCCCTCGTGAGAGAAAGGAGAGGGCAAATATCCTTTTTTGTCTTTATCGTTAAAATAGCCTGGCCCTCTGAAATCCCGACAGTCTCAGGGGCCTCTTCACCTTGCTCCGGGGCTGCCCAAACCTTCCCTCCCCCGACGGTGGTGGCGGCTGCCTCGTTAGCCCCCACTTGCCTTTCTTCTGCTGGTCAGTGCCACACAAGCAGGGAGGGCAGCGGCGCCAGCCGGGGACCTGCAGGTCACTGGGCTTTTTCAGCGGGCCTGTTTCCTCCTCTCTCAACTGGGGAAGGCAAGGCACCCACTACCCAGGTTGTGTGATCAAACCAGTCACGTGTACAATGCTTAGGACACTGTCTGGCACCCAGTAAATGCCACGGCATGCTGGGTTGCTACTTGTGCTCCGCGCGCGTGCACACACACGCAAAACCTCAGATTCTGGGAGGGTGTGACCCTTTGCCCTCTGTTAAACACCAGTGCCCTGGGCTGCACTTCATGTCTCATCCCACAGGAACTATATGGCAAATGAATGAGAATATAAGGAATCTTGTATAGAGCAGAAAGAAAATCATCCCCTGCATTGTAAATTCTCTCATAGGGAACAGTTTTGGTGCTGAGAACTGAAAAACAGGTATGATATGGTTGGTGGTTTAGACCTTGGTAAGGTGTTTTTTTATTTTTTGTTTCTGGCAGGTGGCTGTTCCAAGCAAAGGAAACTAGAGAATGTGGAGGCACCGTATACAGCAGCGAACACTGAGGGAGCTGCCCGGGAACGCAAGCTGTGGTTAGACTGCAGAGGGACCTAATGTGAAACCAAAGCCGGGTCCTAGAGACCAAAAATGTAACGAGCCTTTGGAAAACATCTCCCTTCACAAAAGCTGATCCCGGGACAAGGTGTGCCTGTCCTTGTCCTTCCAGAACAATCCCCAGAACAGTGGTGAATGACCTGGTGCAGAGCTCTGTGGGGGACTCTCAGTCTGCTGCAGCCTTTGGGCTGGGAGGGTGCCACTGAACATGGAAAATAACCCTACTCTGCGATCCAGTTCAGTGTTTTACCCGATTGAGAAACTCGCCATCCTCTCCAGGTATCTTGTTAAGCCAGCTATGACGCAGGCTGGAGCACCGCCTGGAGTTACAGATATAATACAGATAAACAGGCCATTTTACAGGCACAAACTCCGAATCCCCCATTGTTTGTCATTAACTGCTCACTTTAAAACACAGAAGCTATTTACTGCTTTTTATTTTATTACATCAATTTATTACAGCAGTTTACTATTCATGTACTATTAGTAGCCATATTTGATTCCAATCTGTTTTCATATTTAAGGTTTTATTAATAAAATCAAAAGCACAGCAAATAAAACTGAAGATTATTCTACTATGTGAATCCATAAAACTGAGATTTAAACTGAGTGAATTTATTTTTAACTCAGTAGAATTGGGAAAATACCACACGAAGCAAACAATAAACCTACAATAGGTTGTAATGTAAAATATGTATTTCTGCTGCCCTACTGAAAAGGCCTGCAGCTGAACATGGCTAATGGTTCAAGGTGAAAACTACTTTTATAGCTGTATTTTCCAGGAAATTAATTTTCCTAGTATTCTCATTTTGTAACTCAAGATTTCTAAACTGCTCCTTTAAGCTGGTAGTAGAATGAAGAGATCTAGTCAGTTCCAAAGACTGAACTTTTAAATATTTAATAAATGATATGTTTAATATTTCATCACAGTCAATTGGCAGTATAAAATATTTATAGAAATGAGTGATTGATGTTTCTGTAATCATCCAAAAAAAAATCACAAGTGAAGACAAGAGACTACTGGCCTGAAGTCTAGGAACACGTCACCTATGTTGAAAGTTTTTACCTGATTCACTGAGTCATATTCTAGACTCACAAAAAAGCCACCGAAATTGTAAACGGCATTAGTATTAATTAAAATCATGAACAGGCACATGCCTATTATTTCAGGACATGGCTAGTTTTTGTGGTTGTGGTAGATTTTAATATTTAGAAAATGCTGCCAAGTTAAAGATCAAGATGAAAAGAATACAATGGTCAACTTCAAGATTAACTTTAAATATAAAACTTATACCTCCCTAGGTCATCCCAACTCTGGGGGCTAATGAGAGGCCGGCGCCTTGTCCACATCACCCAAGTCATGGATCCCGGCAAGGTGGTTCCAAAGCCGGCAGTGGCCTTGATATCCCAGCACCACCATGAATTCCTCTCATTTCTTCACACAGAGTAACCCACTGTTTTCAAAAGAGAAGCTGATGTGTGCCTCTTCTCTCATTCCAGAACACCTAGGTTGGTCATATTGGACCAATACTGACATCATAATAATAAGTAATGATAGCTGAATGTTTAAGAGATTGTAGGCATTTTACAGGTAAATCCTAAATGATCCTACGTGTTTTGTTTGCAGATTCGACTTTCACGCTCGGTTCAGCCAAAGGACCTGCAGTTAAGGAACACGGCCACTAGGTGGCGACAGGCGCCTTGGCGTCCACGCTGCAAACTTTGAGGCTTAAAGAAACCAGGCTCTTCACTGCTCAAGGGGCGGAAGGTAACCGTGCTACCCCAGCCCTTCATTAAAGACGATATGCACAGAAAAGTTTCTTAAATTATGTAAGTATAACCAGTTGGTTCTTTTTTTTTTTCCT